TTTCGAGACAGGGTTTCTCTGTGGCTTTGGAGCCTGTGCTGGCACTAGCTCTGTAGACCAGGCTGGTCTCGAACTCAGAGAGATCTGCCTGCCTCTGCCTCCCGAGTTCTGGGATTAAAGGCGTGCACCACCATTGCCCGGCCAGCCTTTGGACTTTTAAGATAGGATCTCACTATGTAGTCCAGTTTATCCCCTAACTTTCTATCCTTCTCCCCCTGAGTTCTGGGTCTTAAAGGCTCCACCATGACTGATTCCCATAGCATTTATACATGATGAATAAAACCATGTGGTTGTAAAATAGTTTAGCATATTTGCAGTTGATGCTTGTGACAGAAGGGAGTAGGTTAGGTTATAACAGAATATATATGTATAATATATGTATGTATAATATAATCTGAGAAATTTACACAAGTGATATAATAGCATGGAAACACACACACACATGAAAATCTGAGAACTCCAAATATTGATGCTTTTCATTAGTGTCAGTATCTAATTTTGATGTTGCACTAAGGTTTTGTAATCTGACACCACTGGGAGAAACTGGGTAAAGAGTATACAGCATTTTCTGGTATTTACATATGAATCTAAAGGTACATTAAAAACAAAACATTCAATCTAAACATAATTCGTCGGCAAGGATAAAGAATCTGCAACAATCCCCTCATTTGACTGCTATCCGGTGTTCTTTCTGGAATACAGGGCCACCAAAAGTCAAAAGACCAGCATCAGGGTCTCTGGCTCCTCCACAAGGCCCTATTTCCACTTGCTCTATTTCATCTTCCCCTGTCTGCTTCCACTGAGTAAACGTAGGCAGTTTCCTGGTGGACGTCCCTTCTGAAGACACAGTGGGACTCTATTCCCCTTCCACCCATTTCTCTCTCGGTTAGTTGAGGGCCCCGTCCCCTTGGCTATCTGTTGGTGACAGTGTCCTCCAACTGCCTTGCTGCCAACCATCATTTCCTCTGCTAATCCCCTTCCTTTGCTTCACCTGTCTCTCTGGCTGCGCACTTTGGTCTTTGAGACTCCTCCTTATGGGCTGGACTTCAGCTTATCCCTCCTTTTTTCCCACCATGGACAGCTGTGCTTCCACTGTGTGCCAACAGCCTGCCCTGTGCGCTCCAGCCATGGCATGACGTCCCTTCCCCTGTCCCTCACTTGGTTTTCTCTCTAGACACCAGGAATCCCAGAGTCACTCTGAAAGTGCTGATGTCCTGGCCGTCCACCGAGCTTTCTGAGGTAAGTGATCTCGTGGGTAACCTGGGTATAGACTATTTAAAGCTCTCCAGGTGGTTTCTGGGAAATCTGAGAGCCACTGTTCAAAAGTTTCTAAATCTATCTTTCCACCATTGCTTTCCTGGTGCCAAAACAAAGCCTTATGTGCGGTCAATAGTAAATGTTTATCAACACAATGGGAGTGATTTATCAGTATCTTCCTGGAAACCCTTAGGTCACAGATCTATGAGCCTTTCCAGGTACAAAGCTGGAGAGAGGGCAGCTCGTGATCCTTGGGGTGCAGCCAGACCTTGTGGCAGTGGGCCCTGCTCTTTCCCCTGAGGCAGAGGCCCAAGAGTGCTGGTCTGGCTCACACAACCTTCTCCTGTTCCCTGAAGCATTGCAGACCCAAACTGTAGAGCTTGAATTTGGCAAACTTGGGTTTTTCCCTTTAGAGCGAGAGCCAGGATGTCAGACCCAGTGAACTGTAAAGGAATCCACATTCTGCAGATGCCGGCACATGTGTTCCGACCATGGCTGACATGCTGCTGCCAGCTGTGAGTACTGGGCGTGGAACGAAAGTGTCATTGGTGAGGACAGTCAAGTCCCAAGTGACAGAGAAGCATGCCCAGCAGAGAAGCACACCCAGCAGGAGAAGCATGCCCAGCAGGAGAAGCATGCCCAGCAGGGAGAAGCACACCCAGCAGGAGAAGCACACCCAGCAGGGAGAAGCACACCCAGCAGGGAGAAGCACACCCAGCAGGGAGAAGCACGCCCAGCAGGAGAAGCACGCCCAGCAGAGAAGCACACCCAGCAGAGAAGCACACCCAGCAGGAGAAGCATGCCCAGCAGGGAGAAGCACGCCCAGCAGGAGAAGCACGCCCAGCAGGGAGAAACATGCCCAGCAGCCCCATGCCCTTGCCTGATGTGCTCCAGCCAGATGATTTTACTGTCCTGATTCAGGGAAAAAAAAATATTCCAGTAATACAGATGGGAAGGTAGGCTCGCTTCCTCTCACTGAAATATGTTTCCTTGATTGGAAGGGTTGGGATCCTTTGACATAGATAAAGTAATGATAAAACAAATTCTCAAAAATAGCAGAGACTTTAGGACCCAGAACATCATCAGTGACCTCATCGTACAGCTGAAGCTATTTAGGCACAAGCAAGGAGAAATTAAGTGTTCGGGGTTCCGGGTCAAATGCCCAGTTGCTGGCAGATCTGGGAACAGAACTCATAAGAACTTGAAGAACATTTAAAAAGCCTGTTTCAACAACTTGCACCAAATAACCACCATGATGGGATTAGTTCTCTCATTTGAAGAGACACGAAGTGCAGAGCTCGCTTCTTCCCTCTCTCTCAGCTACGGGAGAAACATAGTTCTAAAATTGCTTTGAGAAACCACTTTATGTTTTTTTTTTTTTGACAATGGTGTTTTGATTCTGAGGCAGTTGTGCAACTATTGAGAGATGTGTAAAATAGTTATGTCAAGTTCACTTAAGATTTGAAATGTGAAATCAGTATGTTAAGTAAGGCCTATTGCTTTACATTTGATTTGAAAACATCAGGTAAAACATGCCCTACTTAAGAAGTTACTTCTTGGTGATGTCCATTGAAAATACCTGGAACAGTTAAAATCCCACAGCAGTTGGTGTCAATAATACCCCAATTATAGTTTCTAAATTTCATTTTCCACCAGAATATCCAGGTGTCTTGGAAACTGGATGATGTAGATCTTGGTCAGGACTGTTGCTTGTGAGCTGGAAGCACCTCTGTGGGACAACAAAGATGCCATCTTCATTCTGAAAAGGGGTGGAGTCAGGGAAGAGACAGGCCCACAGGAAGTGTTCTGGGACAGCTGAAGGGTGCTGCCAGTTCTTGTGTTTCCTACAATTTGTAGTGGAGTCATGCAGACAGAAAGAGAGGAAGTTGGTGGGAAATTCTACAAAAGAAACGGTCCTAGAAGAAATAGAGTAAAAAGAGTTAAACCGTGTAGCGATATTTCATTTGTATTTTAATGAATAAAGCTTGCCTGCAGTAAAACAACTCCACTGGTCAGCCTTACAGACTGGGCAGTGAAGACACACACCTTTCATCCCAGTAGCCACAGAAACCGGGCGGTAGTGGTGCACACCTTTAATCCCAGCACTAGCGAGGAATATAAGACGGGAGGAGACAGCTCTCAGTCTCATTCTGTGATTCCTGGAGGCTGGATCCCCATTTCGGACTGAGGTGGAGGTGAGAGCCAGTGGCTGGCTGCTTTGCTTTTCTGACCTTCAGATTGAACCCTGATATCTCACTCTGAGTTTTTGTTTATCGTGCTCCAGAGCAGATTGTGTACTGAACCTTCAGAGGACCAACACACTGAGCCAGGGGGTTGTCCTGGGCCAATCTCGGCTCTCACAGTGAAGAATGGGGAAAAGAGGTGGTTGAATTTGGTCAGACATTGGCTTACTTTTGGTTTAACGTTAACATTTGAATGAGAAAAATATTTTCAAATATTAGAAGTGAAGCGTTTAATGGAAATTGAGATGTTGAAGACCGAGGGCAGAGACTATGAGCACTGCCACAGCTACACGGGTTACAGCAGGAATTCCCAGTGTCATCTGAAACATGCAGCATCAGCACCACACAGGACATGCGTAGAAACTAAATAGAGCTTAGCTCCGGTGAGGAGACGAAGCCCTGCAGCTTGCAACACAAGGACCTTCAAGGTGCCGCTGGTGCCCACAAACTGTTGAGCAGGCAGTAGAAAGGGTAAAAACTCAGGTAGTGTGGCTTAGGAAAGAAGGAAAACCTTGTCACCAAGAGGGTAAAGGGACAGGTAAGGGCTGATTTAGGGAAGGATGAGTCATTGAACAAGGACCTACCTGATGACACC